TAATGACTGACTTATTTCACAGAGGGAGTAAACTGAAGGAACTGCTCAAGATTTCTAAAATCTAGAAGCAAGAAGCAGACACCAGAGAAAAATCAGAATTTCTGATTTTTGAAGGAGGACACCTTAAAAATGAGGAATAAGACTTCATTTTTCAATGAACTGGACATGAATGAAAGAGTGGAAGTTAAAGAAGGAGTCTACTCAGTGTAAGTGAGACTTTCTAATATCAAAAACATATTAGAAAAGGATAGTCTACCCTGAAGGGCAGAGAGCATACTACTCAGTATGAAAATAAGTGTTTCATCAAAAATGATAAAGATTTCTTAGCAAGTACAATCTTAATAACAATGCCAGTCATTACCACCACCACAATGATAGTTGATCATCTGACAGAAATCACTGAGCACTGTTCTAAGGGCATTACATATACTGATCCATTTAATCCTCACTACCGCCATCTGGTTCCACAGTCTGTCCTTAACCACCACAATACACTGCTTACCTCCCAGTTCTAGAATCCTGGACAAGTTACTTAACTGCTCTGCATCTCCATTTTCTCCTTAAATAAAAAGAGCACAACAGTACTTACCTCAGATGACAATGATAAAAATTAAATGCATTAATATATTTGTTTAGCACCCAGAATAGTGCCTGTCACAAAGCATGTACTTTATTAATTTTTATATAATATTTTTTGTGGTACTAGAGATTGAACCCAGTGATGCTCTATCACTGAGCTACATCCCCAGCTATTCTTATTTTGTGACAGGGTTTCTCTAAGTTGCCCTTACTGGTCTTGAATTGTGATCCTTCTGCCTCAGCCCCCTGAATCACTGGGATTATAGATGTGTGAACATTTTTACCTGGATGTCAAAGAATTCTATCTAGGTCACTGTGAATGTGACACAAATGAGGGGAATTCAAGGATTGCTTTCAAAGATGCTTCTCTAGCTAAACAAACTCAGCCATGAAAAATTACAGGAAAAACTGCTACATAAGACCAGAGTCTCTGCATATTTGGTACGGCTAATTAAATAAGGTAAGACCTTGAAAAAAAAAAAAGGCCCAGTCCATCAGCCTTTGCTGACTTCTCTGACCACCTTCAACACCTTTGCCAATCATTCAAACTTTATTTTCAGCAGAACTGGACTTTACCTAGTACCCACTTAACAAATTCCCAAACCTAGTCAACTCAACACACTTCCTTTGTGCCTATTATCCAACTGCAACATGGCATCCAAAATGGCTGAATAAATCTTTTACTCATCCTTAAGTCATTTACAAATTCTCAGAGCAACATTAAACCTTTATTTCACCTAAGCTTCTAAATTCACTGTCTCCATCCTCAAATATTTTACATTCCTCAAAAATTGGAAAATAAAACAAATCAGACATAAATTCTTTCTACTTTCCACAAATCTTCTCTGTACTCCTGAACTCCTGAAATAGCAAATCAATCCAACATTTACTGATGTTTCCTCCCGATTTTTAAGAAAGTATCAGAAGATAAAAAAGTCTACTGTCCTCCTTTCCAAGGCCAACTATTTCTTCTTTTCTCTGATGCTATCCAGGAATCGTAGATTACATCATCTTCCTCTGCTGGTTGTCTGGCAACCATTTCCCTATCTCCGACCTCTCTTGAATCTTCACCCTTTTTCTACCGATTCAAAATATACCCAGAGGAAAAAAAAGTTCTCAGTCTTATTGCCCTCCTAAGTCTTGACCTTTGCACCCAGTGTACTGCCAAATATATCAAGAATGGTCTCTTGCTGTAAGTGTGTAGTGGGCTGAATTAATAAATTGAATCACTGGAAAACAGGTTTTTCTTGATTACAATCAATCTTTCAAATATGTTTGAAGGTTCTGGCACCCAGTAGGCTTGGATTTGGCAACCAATAATTATTTTATACATAATTTTTTACACTATGTTTTACATTTTAGACTATGTTTTTAACAAACATAATAAAGGAAAATATTGCATAGAATTTTATTATATGTGACAAACTATACTATAACTGAAGGTTGTTAATTGCTTTAGGACTTCTTGTACAAGGTTTATTGTAGATTAGCAATACTAATACCTTAAAATATTTTTGGAGGATAATTTTTACATAAACTACATAAGGAGCAATGATTGAAGTTATTAACAATACTATGGTAATGTAAATGACCACATAAACTCTTAGAGCCTTAGCTAATTTAAAACTTATCTATAAAAAATAATAAATTTATAGAAATAAAACTTTTCCATACCTTCAGGGAAAAGGATCTGGTAAAAAGACCTAAAATTGGAGAGAACATAATGTATTTAAGTAGAAGAAAGCTAGTCACTGAAGGTGGAGCACAGTAAACAAGGGAAGAGGCAAATGTCAGATCCCTCCTGACCTCCTAGGTCAGAATTAATACTTTTTGGCAAACTCATAAGAACAACAGAAGCCAATAAAAAGCTTTAAGAAGGAAAAGTTGGGAGATGGAAGGATCACATCTGCAATTTTAAAAGCTCCAGTTGCTTTCGAAAGAATGAATAGGTAGTCAACCAGAGTTGGAGTCATATATTTAAGAAGGAAATGATGATAGCCTGGATCAGGGTGGCAGCAGAGATGAAAATGAGGAATGGATTCTAGAGGATAAAATCAGTAAGACTTGGCAAGTGATTAGATATGGGGAGAAAGAAAGAGAGCTGTCAATGAAATGTTGGTTTCCTACATGTATATACATATGTACATGGAAATGCAAAGTAACCCATCTTGTAAAATATATACCAACTTGTTAACAAAAATTACCTGTGGAACGAGATGATAAATTTTACAGTAACAGGGAGGCTTTTTTTTTTTTTTTTTTTACTGTGTAAATATCTACATTGTTTAAATATTTTATAATCAGTAAGTTTACACTGCTTTCTTAAATTTACATGCAATAAAAAGAAAAAAATCCTGACTAAAAAGGATATGCCCTTTWATGGAGAAGGAACAACCTAACAAAAAGCACAAAACACAAGAAAGTACACAAAATATTTAAGGAATATCAAGTAGTCTAGTGTTCGCAGAATAGGAAGGAAGAATGTGTACTGGAAGGGGGTTAGGGAGGAATGAAGCCATTTTAGAATATGTCCAGATCATGAAGACCTTGTAAATCAGGCTAAAAAAAAAAAAAAAAAAAAAAATTCCCTAAACTGTAGGAAATGAAAAGGAATATTTTCAAACAAGAGAGTGAAAAATTCAAGTTTGTATTTTTCAAAAGATCGCCCTAGAGTCAGTGTGAAGATCAAAGAGAGAAGACAGGCAGACAGATCACTTACACAAGAACTTAAGTTAAATCAAGGAAAACATAGATAGAGAAGGGGAGAGAACTGAGGTTCATTTAAAAAGCAGTTGACAATACTTGGTGATTAAGAAAGAGAAAGTCAAAGATGGTTCCAGTGATGACATCAATTTAGGCACTATACAAGAACAGATTAAGAACAGAGATAAACAACAACAACTTTGTTTTAAAGATGTTGAGGGTTTTAAAGTACCTCTGGAAGCAGATCAGGTATCAACAGGAAACTGAATATATAGGTTTGAATTGTGGAACACTGTCAGGACTGGAGCACAGGAAGATTATTATCCAGAACAGAAAATTTTAAACATGGTCACAACCTTACCCTTGATAGGATTTCACTGAGGCAACTGTCAAGAGTTGACTAGTGACATTTATTCTCATAGCAATAAAAATTCTATGTAACTGTTAGTCTAGTCTTCATAGGTAATAACCTTAACAAGTAAGATAGGGTTTTTGTCTTGGTATCTTGGAGTCTTTTAATTTTTTTAACCCTTTCCATTCTTTTTATCCGCCTGTCTTTCTTTCTTCCACCCACCCATCTATCTAGTTAAGGAAAATAGATGAGGTATCATAAGGAAGTATAATATGAAAGTGATTTGCTACTCTTATTGTCTTAGTTGTCAAAGACAAAGAATATTCTACAATTCTACCCTTAACAAAATSTAAGTTAAACAATGATTTACCTATGTGATTCTACTGCTTTTCTCTTGCAAATGACCAGCCTTATTTAACCAACCTCCCCAAGGTAACCAAATCCAGCTAAAGCTTTACCACAGAGGTTAAACAATTCAGTCCTGTTGTTGCTCACTGTTAGAAACTGAGTCACACTGTACCTATGTCTAAATGACAGTGCCCTGTTACATGGGAAGTGGAAACRAAGAAACTGTTGGCAAAGGAATAGCTGCTTCCTTCCTGAACAAGGGAGAGGCAGGAAGGTGACAAATGGGCAGAGCAAAAAAGCAGCCTAAAATTGCTCTGGCTCCTCATTGGCAAGAATGTCCGGAACTGAGGCACGATTGGATATTTTAAAGTATATAAATCATTGAGAAGCATTATCTGCTTGGGGGGGCTCTGCTGAAGATCAACAGGGCTTCCCACATATCTATACTTGAAAAACTTTTAAGTTTGAAGTGGCACAAAGAATCTTACCTCAGCCTATACACAGTGAGCTAGGACTGCAAGGCACTGCCCCATTGCACTTTAGGATTATACCCAAAAGAAAGCACTTTCTGGTTAAAAATATTTTTTTAAAAGTTCACTTTCTATATCATAGTTATATTTGTATGATTAACTAGAATTACTAATAAAATTTCACTAGAAAACATTTTTCTTAAATATGGTTATTTTTACATATTTAATTTAAAAAGGTTTGTTGCAAACTTTTATAATTCGTTCCTTTATCATCTCCCCCTCCCATTCACTTCTGCACCCAGAAAATTAATACCCAAGGATTCCTGGGTAAAACAGACAACCACTGGATATGTTATAACTAACATTTTTAAAAAGCTGTAAATAGTTATTGTTCATCAAAAGAAAATTAGCAATCATTAAAAATGACATTAAAAATTAGTGTGGCCATAAAGTATGGAATTTTAAAACATCAGTTTACTATACTGATTAATTCAACATTTATATTTTCATCAGAACTTAATATTCCCATAAATAAATAGAGCTCTCAATTATTTAAAAAAATCAAGGGATAACATATGTATTTAGACATATTAGCAGCGTAAAAYGTATGCTTCAACACACTTATTGGGGAAAAAGTCTGAAAATATTACTACACTGAATTCAAGGGCATCCGCAGGAACCTGACATAGAAGTTCTCTAGAATAACATTTCAGGAAATTCCAAAAAAAGGGAAAAGGGTCAAATAGGAAATAGACTCAGATTAATCAACAAAGTTCAGTGCTTGCTCCAACTTGATTTTCTGTCTCTCCATTGAAAAAAAATAAAAGAAAAAAGAAAGAAAGTTTCAGAATGGGAGAATCACTTAGATGAAAGTTCATCTACTGGAATAAAGGGAGAGGCCGCTTGGGCAGGTGACACAGGAGAGTCGGTGGTAGTGCTGACTTTCGCTGGTGAGTTACAAGAAGACCCGGCACTGCTGCTGTTTCCATCCAGGGTATCTGAAGATACACACACACCAGGATCTGACAGCTGTGCAACGTCAGAAGAAAGCATGTTGGTGATGCCCTGGAAAAATCTCTTTGGCTGATACTCAGTTTCCATTTCACATTTTCTTTTCAATGGTCCAAGAACACTTGGTCTAATGCAGTTGATGGGACTCTGGCTTCTCCGGGTAGTAAATCGAGTAGTTGGGCTGGGAATAGGGCTTGGAGGCAATCCGTTGCTACTCACAAAACTTTGCAAGGATGGCGAAAAACACTGCTTTCCAATTCCCCGGGTGGGTGAAGGTGCTGGTGACACCGGAATGAAATCGATGCGCTTTGGGGAGGCGGATTTCTCCACATCGTTGTCACTCAGGCTGAAACTTTCCTCCCAGGAGTGGCTTATCTGCATTGCGGTCTGCACCTCTCGCTCGTGGACCGTCTCTCGGTTGATCAAGTCCATGCCTTCCTCCTGTTTGATCTGGTGCAAGCGGCTGCTGTGCATGCGGACGGGGGAGGCCGGCAGCAGCAGGCCGTGGCGGCTCGGGAACGTTGTGCTGTTCCGCCTGGCGCTAGGCGCCTCGGCCTGGAACACCGGAGAAGTGTCACTGAGGCCGTGGATCAGGGGGGCGCTGTTAGACCTCCTAAGGCCCCCGCCGCCGCCCTCCGCCGAGCTCCCGCCCGTACCCGGAGGCAGTTCCAGGTCCAGTTCCATCTTCTCCTGAGCCATGTCGGGGGCAGGGAGGCGGGGGCGGTGCTCAGTCAGGGCCCTAGGATTCCCATTCCCCGCAGTCCAGGGCCGCCGCCACCACCGATGCCTCCGAGAATCTGTCAGCAGGCTCCCCCCTCCACGCATGCGCGCCCCTTCGCGCAGGCGCCCCAGACGCCTGTCCGGGGCGCCTGCTTAATGCGTAACTTCGGCGCCGCAACCATAGGGGTGGGGCGAGTAGTGGTTGGGCCGTTAGTCTTGGTGTTTCTTCCGCAAATAGCTTTTGAGCTCTGGCTGTTGCCAACGCAMGGTGCTGAGGTTATCATATTTGGGAGAATATACTTATAAAACAAATATGAACTCTGAAAGAGACGCCCTTGGTAATGTGGGGTTGTAGGATGGGGAACTGGGCTTAGCCTAATCAGGGAGGGCTTCCCCGAGGAAAGCACAATCTAAAATCCGAAAAAGTAGGCAATATGGGTGCTCTGTAGAATGTTACTGGAAGCGCGAAGCTAGGGCCACCCAGGTGAGTGGCAGGCGGGAACCCAAGAGGGAGGAGGAGTGCGGCCTGGTTGAGAGTGAGGGCTGGCGAGACGAAGGAGGTGGAGACAAGCGCAGATGCTGGGTCTTTCTTGAGGAAACAATGAAAGCCTCGGTAGAGAAGCAACTGAAAAGTTCACTGACTGCATTCAGGAGGATAGATACATTGGAAGATTAGGACCTACAAGGAAAAGACCGAAGAGCATGGTAATATACACTAAGGTGGTCTATTGGAGAGGAGATGGAGAAAATAATAAATGTGAGAACTATTTAGGAGATTGGAGTGGGGAAGGACTTGGGATTGTATTGTTTTATTTACAGTCATTTCTGGCACAGACGTACTTAATGTTCATTAAGGATAAGGTATTAAACGAAAGGAAAAACCAGTCCTCACATTTTACAAGTAACTGTACTTGCTCATGTAATTAAAACCTTGATACCTCATTAAAAGTGGATTTATAATTTTTCAGTGATTTAGTCAAGGTTTTCCCCTGCATACCTAATATATTCCAGGCACTGTGCTAAGAAATGGGCCCTATTATTATGGACTTGCAATTTCTACTCYGGGAGGGGAGGATAAGTAAGTATATAGACTATTTTTTGGTAAGCCTTAGGAAAAAATAAAACCAGATGGTGTGATAGAGCACTGCTGATAGAAAGCAGAGAGCAATTATAGAGTTGAGATCTAAATGACAAGAAGCAAGTCAGGAGGACAGCTAAGGACTGGGGATGACAATCAGAATTGATTGTGCTAAGGCTCAAGGCACCATGAGTATGGTGAGGAAGCAGGAAGAGAAAAAAGGACATAATGGGAGAGTGATATGAGCGGATAAAGTGGTGTGATATCATTCTATGATGAAAAGCCACTGAGGAGTTTTAAGCAGGGGAATGATACTATCTGATTTATGTTTATTATTTATTTTTTTGAGATAGTATCATCTGATTTATGTTTATTATTTTTTTGAGATAGTATCTTGCCCTATGTTKCCCAGGCTGGTCTCAAAACTCCTGAGCTCAAGTGATCCTCTTGCTTCACCCTCTCTAGTGGCCAGTAGCTGGGATTAAAGGCTTAGGACAATGCTTGCTTGTTGTGTGTTTTAAATAGCACTTTGCCTCTATGGAAAATAGGCAAGAATGGAGGCCAAAAGATGGATTAGGAACCTAATTGCAACAGTATAGGAGAGAATAATGGATTAGGGTTGTAGCAGTGGAGATCAAGGTGAAGTAATTGGAAATAAGAATATATTTTGGGAGCAGAATTGATAAGATTTATAGATGTATTAAATTTAGATAGCAAAATAAATAGGATTTAAAGATGGGTCAGATTTTTGACAAATTGGGTAGATGGTAGTATCATTTACTGAGGAAATGAGCACATTTAGAGGTTGGAAATTAAGAGTTGTTTTGGTAGGGTTGAGTTGGTGTTAGAGTCTGTAAACAAGTCAGGATGGCGCCTGGCAAATGTTAGAGTCTAAACAAGTCTGGATGGTGCGAGCAGTTAAGTGTGGAGACTCCTTATTGGTTGACTGATGTATCTAGTTTATGCTAATTAAGATAAGCTGTGTGGAATGTATAAATACCACTCCTGTCCTACAATAAACCTCTCCCACTCCTGCTATATCAATCTACACAAGTTGTTCCCCCCCCCCCCCCCCCCCCCCCCGTTATTTTGCCCAGCCAGCTGGGCTGCGGCAAGTTGGTAGTCGCTATTAGATATTTTTCTGGCTACTGGAACTGAAAGAGAGCTAGTAATTTTTTCTTTTATTTATTTTTTTTGTAGCTAAAAGAAGATATCTAGAGAAGATAAATGTTCATATTCAACATCACACAACTTGGTTAGTAGTGGGAACCAATACTGCAAGGCTCTTGTTTTCTAGTTCATGTCACTTTCTAGTGTATCTCAAACAGCTTTTATTTGAAATCTTAGTAAAAATATGGGTCCTGATGATAAAATAATGTTCAAATTATGCCTACATTAATAGAAACTGATTTAACTGACTTCCAAGTCACAGACACTATGCAAAGTGCTTTACATGCAATAACTCTTTCAGTGCTCACAACACCCTTTTGAGGTAGGTATCATTATCCTCATTTTGCAGGGGAAAACTGAAGACACAGATTAAATAACATCCACAGGATGACATTAAGTGTCAGGACCTGGGCTCTCTGGCTGCAGAGCATCAGCATGATGCTGCATCCTTCAAGTATGAGGATGTTTCAGGACTAGAAGATAACATTTTCAGATTGTCAGTGGCTTTGTTAAGGCAATGGTATTTGAGACAGGTTGAAGGATTGTCATGACTTTAAGAGATGACTTTTGAAAAATAACAGGATTATAAAATAGTGACTTTGGCTAATACATAAAATATATTGGAGAAGAATAATGGGGAAAAACTTTGAGAGTGGATATCTGAATRGCAGGCAGAAGTGTCTGTATTTGATGTGTGAGACAATAGGGAACTATTGMAGGTTTTGAAAAGAAGACTGACACAATGGAGCTCTGCTTTAGAATTTGCCAGAAAGATCAAGGATGGAGTGATGTCAAATAACAGTGGAAAGAGTTTTAAGTGCCTCTTGGTACTAGGCTCTTTAAACACTCTATAACCCCATTTSTCCTTATTGCAATCTTAGATACTAATACTCTAAATTAGATGTTGGTATTATTGAGGTATAAAAACTACAAAGACCTTATTGTACATGGAAGAACAAAGACCTGAACCAACCTAAATCAAGGTCTCACTTCAGAAACCTATATTCTCTTTGCTGAATTTCACATAGATTAAAGAAGGAAAATTGGGTCACTAACTCTGAAATGAAAGGAAGGTCAAAAACCAAAGTTAAGAATGGCAGAAAGAAATGGATTTAGGAGACAGCAAGGCAACAATACAAATTCCCTGTATAGAGGATGAAGAAGAAGTAGTCATAAATGGCTGAAGTGCAAGTTTGGGTGACTGAAAGAATGGTATAACATTATTAAATAGAAAAGGACGAGGAGAAAGAGTGTCCAGAAAAAAGCTAGGTAAATGGAAAAGCATTAAATAAAGAACTTATTTTATAATATCCATTGCCTATAATTAATTTGCACATCACTAAGTTATTACTAATGTGGCAAAGTTATTACATTGTTCATATTTGGATGAGCACAATTTACCATTATTAATAAGGCGTAGTGATGGCAGTAAGTAAAAAAGAAAGCATTTATGCCATTTAATTTTTGCCTGAATACAAAAGTTAGAGATCTTATTTGGTTTCTGTTTCTACCCTTATTCAAGATAATGCTTTTTAAAAATTTTTGAATCATCATTTATCCAAAATCCTTCAGCAGATTCCCACTCCAAGAAAAAGCCAAGGTCATTATTATGGCCTGCAGGGTTCTGTCTAATCCARATTTCTGCCATCCCTCTGACCTCACCTCCAGCTATCCTTACTACCTACCTCAAAGGCCTCTTTACTAGCCTTCAGTGCAGCAGTCTGGCTGGGCACAATTCAGGAGCCACTTGTCAAAAGAAACGAACTTTATTTTTAGAACCACACACACCACACCACACAGCTCCTCAGGAAAAACCCTCAGAGCCCAACTGCCACCACAGGCTTCCCACAAGCCTCTCCACCTCCCCCACTCCTCCTTCTCGAGGCCGATTGGCTGGGTCGCATGGGMGGAGCCAAAAAAGTCCCCCAATGAGGAGCTCCGTGGTCTGAAAGGGCGGGGAAACAGCCCAATGAGCATCACCGCAGAGGAGCCAATCAGTTGGCAGCTAGAAGTTGCTGGGGCCCTGTGAGCCAATCATCAGCTGGCAGCTGGAAGTTTGCTGGGGCCCCTTCAGCTGTGGCTCTCAACATTCAGCCCATCAGGCACTGCCCCACTCCACATGGACAACTCAGTGGATAGCCACACTGCTTCAATCCCTGAACAAATGTCACTGGGGCTCTCCCTGACCTTCCCTTATGAAAAGCAACCAAGCAGTGCCCAATACCAGGCCTACGTACCCAAACCCCATATCCTGTTTTTATTTTTCTCCAGAGTAATACATGATTTTGCCTCTTAGCCTCCTGAGAAGATAAGCTTCATAACAAAAACTCTTGCTTTGTTCTGGACTGTATTACTAGTAGAACAAGGCCTGCCACAGAGTACAAATAAATGTTGAATCATTATGTGAATGAATGATAAAGAATGAATGGGTAAACTAATGTAGCTTTGCCCAGAAAGGAAGGGAATTTTATTATTTGAAAATCCAGCCTAATAGGGTTTTCTGACTGGTCCTAGAAGCTCCTTACTTTATCAATTCTTTTTCTTATATCAGGAATATTATTAGTTATTTGGCTCTTTAGCCCATGCAGGTAGGTTACTTGAATGAACCACTATGTTCAAAGAAACTGAAGCCTTAATTTTCCATTCTTTTTCAACCACATGCTGACACATACTTGGTAGAATTTAAATGCTCAGTGGTGAGGATTCTAAGCAGTGACTAATATATTGAGTTACTGCTTCCTCTCAAAGGAATCAAGGACAAATTAGAGAAAAATAGCAGCCATAAAATATAATTCAGCCTGTTGCAAATGAATTATGCCAGAGGCAGAATGCAAGGGACCT